AAAAAAAAAAAAAAGTGTTCAAGGAAAGAGTTACTGTTCTCATTCCTGGAATAATTATTGCCTAGTTTGATCCTGAGAGTGGTGTTTTTGTTTGCTTGTTTTTTTCTAGTCTGGGGCTTGAAATCAGGACCTAGGAGCTGTCCCTGAGCTTATTTGCGCCTGGCTAGTGTTCTACCACTTGAGTCAAAGCTCCACTTCTGGCTTTTGGATAGTTAATTGGAGATAAGAGATTCATGGACTTTCCTGCCTGGGCTGGCATCAGCCTCCTGAGTAGCTAGGGTTACAGGTGTGAGCCTTTGGCGCCTGGCCTGAGAATTTATATGTACCTGTTTAAAATTTATTAATTACTTTATTATTATAGAGGTGATATGCAGAGGGGTTACATTTACATGCATCAGGTAATAAGCACATTTCCTTTTGTATAGTGTCATCTGTTCCCTATTCTCTTGAGAGGCAGTTCCTTTGCCTTTAAGTTTAGTTTATATATCTATGAGTTTGGTATAATATTTTTATTTTACATTTCATAGAAGTGATTTTGGTAAGATGTAACAGTATCTATGTGCTTGTTGTTGTTGAAGTACTGCCCTGGAGGAGAACTGTTTGACTACATAATTTCCCATGATCGCCTGTCAGAAGAGGAAACCCGAATTGTCTTTCGTCAAATAGTATCTGCAGTTGCTTATGTGCACAGCCAGGGCTATGCTCACAGAGACCTCAAACCAGTAAGTGACCATGTTATACTTAGATGTTTACCTGAGAGTTCAACAGCATCTATTTGGTGTTTTCATTTTCAGCTATGTTTACAAATCTTAGTGCTTTTGTTGCTGCTCCTCTTCTTCCTCTTCCTCCTCCACCTCTTTCTTCTCCTCTTCTTCCTCCTCTTCCTCCTCTTCCTTTTTCCTTCCCCCTCCTTCCTTTTCTTGCTTCTGCTTCCTTCTCCTTTTTCCTTCTATTTTTGTTCCAGTCAGAATATATCACATTTCTTTTTCTCTCCTTTTGACTTTGGTAGCCTTTTTGGATACATTTGCATTCTATTTATCTGTCAATTGTATGTGATGTTATAAATGTCTTTGTAATAAGGATTTTATTTCTGAATCATTGAGTATTTTCTATTTAGTCTTTTTACTACCTGTTTCCCTTTTTTTCTGTGTAGTCCAGGTAGGCTCATGATCCTCCTGCCTTAGCCTCCTAAGTGCTGGGATTATAGACATGTGCTAATTTTAAATCTACTACTCTTTGAAGGAGGACTGTTCAGGGCTGGGAAGGTGGCTCAGTGGTAGAGCGCTTGCTTTGCATGCATGAGGCCCTGGGTTCAATTCCTCAGCACCACATAAGCAAAAAGAAAAAAGCAGGAAGTGGTGCTGTGGCTCAAGTGGTAGAGTGCTAGCCTTCAGCTGAAGAGCTGAGGGACGCCGCCTAGGCCCAGAGTTCAGGCCCCACGACTGGACCCCCCCCCAAAAAAAAATAAAAAATAAAGGAGGAGGACTGTTCAATAAAATCCACAGACTCCTTTTTTTTTTTTTTTTGGTTGGTTGTAGGGCTTAACTCTGGGCTTGGGCACTGTCCCTGAGCTCTTCAACTCAAGGTAAGCATTCTACCATTTGAGCAACAGTGCTACTTCTGGTTTTCTGGTGGTTAATTGGAGATAAGAGTCTCATGGAGGGCTGGGAAGGTGGCTCAGTGGTAGAGCACTTGCCTTGCATGCCTGAGGCCCTGGGTTCTATTCCTCAGCACCACATAAGCAAAAAGAATAAAAGCCGGAAGTGGTGCTGTGGCTCAAGTGGTAGAGCGCTAGCCTTGAGCTGAAGAGCTGAGGGACAGCACTCAGGCCCAGAGTTCAGGCCCCACGACTGGACTCCCCCCCCCCCCCCAAAAAAAAAAGAGTCTCATGGACTTTCCTGCCAGGCTGGCTTGGAACCTTGATTCTCAGATCTCAGCATCCTGAGCAGCCAGAATTACAGGCGTGAGCCTGGCTTACAGACTCCATTTATTGAGGACTGACTAAAAATGTGAATTATTATTTTTTTAATATACTGGGTTTGAACTTAGGGCCTTCTACTTGTTAGGTGTAGTCCTAAAGAGGTGACTAGGTGGGTAATAGTGAATGTGGATTTATTTATTTATTATTTATTTGTTGTCATTACTGGGGCTTGAACTCAAGATTTTGTGTTTTCCCTTAGCTTTTTCACTCAAGGTTGGCAGTCTACAACCTCTACTTTTGGCTTTATACTTGTTAGTTGAAGGTAAGAGTCATTATCAGAGTCCGAGACCTAGATTTGTATGAGAAGATAGGGAGATATTATTATCCCTTTTTATCTATTTATACCCAGCTTTTCAGTTTGAGCTGACTGTTTAAAGTTAAACTTGCCTTTACAGCAAACAATTATAATTTACAGAAGCAAGCAAACTGTTTGCTTGTAATTGGTTTATGCTAGTGTGTCTTGAAGGTGTAATGCTATAGTTATCAGCATTCTTTTTCCCCCTTTTTATTTATATATTTTTGCAGTACTGGGGATCAAACTCAGAGCCTTGCACTTACTAGGCAAGTATTCTACTAATAGCCTCATTCCTATTTCTTTCCTTTTATATTTGTCTTTTCATTGGTTTTTAGTGATTTTTTTTTTCACTCTTGACAGATCCAAGTTTTCAAATATAAACAACCTTAAATCATTTTTAGAAGTGGCTATAAGTGAGTTGTCATATAAGGAAATCACAGTATAGTTTTCAAAATGTTTGTTTCCTAGGAAAATTTGTTGTTTGATGAATATCATAAATTAAAGCTGATTGACTTTGGTCTCTGTGCAAAACCCAAGGTAAGTGCAGATATTAAAATGCCTTCATTTCTTTACAAATGTTCCTTTTAGTATGTTACCTTGCACTGGTTTCTACCTTTCTTTTTTTGTTGTCAAGTCATGGGCACTGTCCCTGAGCTTTTCTGCTCAAGGCTAGTGCTTCACCACTTTGAGCTACTGCTGTACTTCTGGTTTTCTGGTGGTTAATTGGAGATAAGAGTCTCCATGGATTCTCCTGCCAAGGCTGGCAGATTTAGCTTCCTGAGTAGCTAGGATTATAGGCACAAGCCACCAGCGCCTGACTAGAATTCTACCTTGTTTTTATTGAGCTTGGTTGTATCCACTGTGAAGAATGTTAAATTTCATTCCTGGCATCAATAATTTTTGTATATTCTCTAGATGGTTTTAATGTGTAGCAATAATTGAGAGCCATGGCTGTAGGTATAGTGTCGGTCATGTTTAAGGCTCCATGGTTAAGCTGTGAGAAAATCTGTAGTGTTGAGGCCCAGGAAGCTATTGCATGCAGTATGAATTGACTTGAATTGTCCTTGCAGTTTGAGTATGGTACCACTAGATGATGCCTTTGTACATTTAGATAGGAGTTGAAAATCAAGTACAAATCTATCCTTTGTTATCCAAATGGTTATAGAACAAAAAATAAGTTACATTTTGTGAGATAATCTTCTTTTCTTTCAAAGGAATAAGGAAAATGTCCATAGACACTTCTAAATTTATACTGTTGGGCATTTCCCTAATTTGTATTCTAGTTGAGTACTGGTGTTCCTCAGCATAACTTCTCTGTGAGGTGACTTTGAACTTCCCAGCTTTGCTGTCTGCAGCAGTCTCCTGTGTGGCTGCTATTGGAACCTTCCTCCTGAGTTCTCTAATGATGGTACTCAGAGTTTCTAAAATGAGCTGTCTACACTCATTAAGAATGTTGAAATTACAGACTTGTCTCAGCCTTTTGTAGTCCCCTGATTACGTCCTGCCCCCATCAGGATCAGCTTGGTGCAAAGGGAAGCAGTTATTGCCTCTTCAGTTCAATGTCGGATTCTTTCTGATTCTGTTCCTTCATGATTCTTCAGGTTGTCAGTGGATTTTTGTGTCTAGGAAGCAAATGCTATAAAGCAATTTAACCATTCCCAGATATATCAAAACATAAAGATCATACTTTGAGCAGATGAGCTGGCTTAAGTCATACAGGAGGCAGTGGGGAGAATGTTTGACAGTCTTCATTAGCTTAGATTAGACACCTTCTAAGAAAACTGGCCTGGGAGAGGATAGCCTCAGCTCTGTGCTGAGCTCACTTTCACCATGTTTGAGTTGTAAACAAAATTTGTTTCTCAAGTCCCTTGTTAGTTATAGGGCTCTATATAGGAGTTGGACAGAAACTTCATTTTTCAGTATATCATGTATTTCTGTGTGTGAGCAGAGAAAGATCAGTAGATTTCCCATTTTACCAGATCTTAAAGCTAAGGTAGTGATTTTTCCTTAGAACTGAGTCCTGGAAATAGATTGTCATGGCATTGTTTTATGTGCCTTGTTGCTTTCTTCCCACTAAGAAAAAAGAAGCTGTGTAAAGATTTGTTATTAGAAAGTGGAACTTAAAAAGAAATAATCCCTTTTTCCCTGAATACTTGGGAGTATGGAGATAGGTGTACTTGGATGTTTGCTAGGCTGCTTGTCATGCAGTAGATATTTAGGGCAGTATGAACCTGGCTTTACTGAGCTAAGGGGATAAAGGCTTTGTTCATGTTCAGGTTATAGTAGTATTGGAAATGTGGAATGTGAAGTCTACCTGTGCATGCATGCATGCATGCATGTAAGCAAAGATTATTGGGTTGGCTGCAGAAGTCTCTGATTATTTGGGGTATCTCTTTATCTTCTCTTTGTATTCAAAAATTGTTCACCAAGGTTTAATACTCCTAAGGGCTGTATTGATAAGTGTTTCATTTTTATCTTATTGGCAGGGTAATAAGGATTACCATCTGCAGACATGCTGTGGGAGTCTTGCTTATGCAGCCCCTGAGTTAATACAAGGCAAATCATATCTTGGATCGGAGGTAATTATTCATTGATTAACTCAGTATGTAGTCAATATCCATTTATTGAGGACCTGTAGTGAATCACACATTATATTAGGGATATAACATTACAATAAGAAATAATTTAAAGAGTTTATTATAAACTAATAGAGTAAATCATTTGAATTAAACATAATAACATACAGATTTTTGTTGTTGGTGGTGGTGGTCTTGGCCTTGAACTCTGTCCTGAGCTTTTCTGCTCAGGGCTAGCCCTGTACCACTTTGAGCCATAGCTCCACTTTTGGTTTTCTGGTGATTAATTGGAGATAAGAGTCTCATAGACTTTCTTGCTCTGGCTGTCTTTGAACTGCAGTCCTCAGATTTCAGCCTCCTAAGTAGCTAGGATTATAGATAGGCATGGGCCACTGGTACCTGACACATATAGATTTTTGGGGGGGGTTTCAAGGGGAGGATAGGGTCTTGCTATATATCCCAAGATGTCCTCAAATTCACAATCATCCTACCTCAGTCTCCTGAATGCTAAGATTATAGGTGTGCACTATTACTGGCTAGATATAAGGCACACATTTCAAAATAGGAATGTATTTCTTGTGTGGCTATATGTATCTCTCTCTCTCTCTCTCACCCACTGTGCTCTAGTTTGGACAGGTTAGTCTAGCTGGATAGAGTGCAATCTTGGTCTGACATCTTTGGTATTGATTAGAGAAAAAAACCTATTCTTTGTCCATTACTAGCTCTCTGAGGCTAGCAGTCCTTTGTAGAAGTCCATGTTCAGAAGGCCAGAGCTTACTCTACTTTCCACTACTTGAGGCTTCAAGTTGGCCAGCTCCTCTTCTCTGGTATTTGTCCTAAAGTAAAACAAAACAAAACAAAAAATCCCCAAACTATTGAATTGTCAAAGCTTAGGAAGTTCTGGGCTGAACAGTTTTCTTATTTTAGGACATCTCCAAATCTTTCATGTGTTCTTGTACAGTATGATCCTTTGGGAGAGATATACCACAAATAGCAACTGGTCCTGATTTTATCTTCCTACCATGTCTAGTTTTCATGGGGCTCATCTTCTGAAACTAGTTCTTTATGGGAAAGAATTTGAGAAATATTATATACTTGGTGGCATGAAAAGGTAGGCTTTAACTTGCTATTAGATAACAAGTGACCTTTAATTTTGATAGGCTCTCATACAGAACTTTGATTTATTTTTGTTCAAATTGTTAGTTACATTTTGCTCTCTATTTTTCTTAAATATCTTCATATATGCACATTTTTCAAACAAAATACATTTCCTACAAACAAGGCCTTTAATAGCTTTAGTTATCAAAATCAGAGAATTTAATATTGATACACTATATTTAACCCACATCCATATTTAAATGGTGTGACTTGTACCAGTTATGCCCTTTATAGATTTATTTTCTCCTAGTCCAGATCACACATTTCATTTCTTTAATATTCTCTAAGCTTCCTTAGGCTTTTTTTGTTTAGTATTTTTCATTTTTTTTTTTTTTTCCGGTTGTGGGGCTTGAACTTTGGGCTTGGGCGCTGTCCCTGTGCTCTTCAGCTCAAGGCGAGCGCTCTGCTGCTTGAGCCACAGCACCACTTCTGGTTTCCTAGTGGTTTATTGGAGATAAGAGTCTCATGGACTTTCCTGCCTGGGCTGACTTTGAATGGAGATCCTCAGTTCTCAGCCTCCTGAGTAGCTAAGGATTATTATAGGCGTGAGCCACCGGTGCCTGGCTTTTTTTTTTTTTAGAATATTAAATTGAGTTTGATGCTTCTTTATGATTAGATTTATTCTATACATTTTTGGTAGAAATACCACAGAAGTAATATTGTGACCCACTTAGTTCATTATAGAAAAGAGATTGAACTGTGAAAGTTTATCATGGTCATAATCATACTATATATTTTTTATCTTTTTCCCCAGTATTGGGGATAAAACTGAGCGCCATACACACACAATCTGGGCAAGTGCTCTCTGTCTCAGCCCACGTTTTATCTTTAATTGCTAAATACAAATAAAATACAATTTTCCATGTTAACTAATCATTTTTAAGTGTATAGTTAAGTGGTATTGCAGTCACATTATTATGCAATGAGTCTCCACAGTTCTTTTCATCTTGCAGACTGAAAATTCTACACCCTAAACAATAACTCTGCATTCCAGCCTACCCTATTCCCCTGGCAATTGTCCGTCTACTTCCTGTGTCATAGAAATAGAATCTTACAACCTTTGTCTTTTTGTGACTAGCTTGTTTCACTTAGTATGTCTTTAAGGTTCATTGTGTGGTAGCATATGTCACAATCGCGTTTCTTTTAAGGCTGAATAATATATCCCAGTGTGTGTGTGTGTGTGTGTGTGTGTGTGTGTGTGTGTGTGTGTGTGTGTGTGTGTGTGTGTGTGTGTGTGTGTGTGTGTGTGTGTGTGTACTTGTGTTTCTAGCTGTTGTGAATAATGATATTAGGAATGTGGGTGTAGGAATATCTCTGAGAGCCTCTTTTTCATTCTTTGGATATAGTGAAAAGTGGAATTGTTGGTAATTTTGTTTTTAATTTTTTTTTTTTTTGGGTCCGATCATGGGGCCTTAACTCTGGGCCTGGGCGCTGTCCCTCAGCTCTTCAGCTCAAGGCTAGTGCTCTACCACTTGAGCCATAGTGTTCCGGTTTTTTTCTTTGCTTATGTGGTGCTGAGGAATCGAACCCAGGGCCTCATGCATACAAGGCAAGCACTCTACCACTGAGCCACCTTCCCAGCCCCTGTTTTTAATTTTTTTCAGGAACTCATACTGTTTATCCTAATGGCTATATCATTTTATATCCCTATAAAGTAAATACTATTACCCCATTCTATAAGGTAAAAAAGTGAAAAGACTCAAGCCCAGATTAGGTGTGTTTGCAGATTCACGCAGGTAGCTAGTACTGGTCAAGATTTGAACTAAGAGAAGCACTCTTTTTGTTGTTCCATCTAGTCTCTGAACTAGTGGCTGAACTCACTAGATTGCTAGGGGGTTGGCAAGAATGACTTTCCTATTGGTCTGAATGGATCTGACTTTTTCCTATGGGAGCTTTTATTCTTAAAATTATATATTTAAGTAGTTGTACAAAGGGGTTACCATTTAATATATCATTGTATAAGTACAATGTGTCTTCCTTTTTCATCATTCTCTCCTATCCCTCTTAGCTCAACCCCTCCCATCAATTTTCCTAGTTTTATTGAATATTCGTTGAATATTATGACTGCTTTCTCCCCTCTCTCCCATTCATCTCTTCCTGTTAAATTGGTTCCTTGTTTGTATTAGTTTGGCTTTTCAACTTCAAAGACTCTAGTTAACTTAGTAAACCAAGAAACAATCTGGGTATTTGTCAAATATCCTTGGAGATTTTTTTTCCTGCCAGCCCTGGGGCTTGAACTTGGGGCCTGGGCATTGTCCCTGAGCTTCTTTGGCTTCTTTAGCACTATACCACTTGAGCCACCTCGCCACTTCTGGCTTTTTCTGTTTGTGTGGTACTGAGGAATTGAACCCAGGGCTTCATGCATGGTAGGCAAGCACTCTACCACTAAGCCACATTTCCAGCCCCCTGGGTTTGTTTTTTTAAGAGGAGGATTTAAGAACTTTCATTTAAAAATAAGCTATTTAGGCCTAGAGCAGTGGCTCATCCTAGTAATCTTATATACTTGCTGGTAGAGATTGGGAGGATCATAGTTTGGGATGAAACATTTTCGAGACATCATTTCAGCCACTAAAAAGTGGGGTATAGTGGCAGGAGCATTCCTGTCATCCCATCTCTGTGGAAAGCATAAATAGGAGGCCCTCAGTCCAGGCTGACCTGAAAAATAACTAATAGCAAAAAGAGTTAGGAGTATGGCTTAAGTAGTAGAGTGCTTGCCTAGCAAGAACAAGGCCCAGTATTAAATGAAAAAAATGGCCTAAATAATTTTAATATTTATTGTTCAAATCCTGCCTTAAAGACATGTTTTATATTACTATCTAATTATGTAATTTTTCATAGGAAATGGTTTCAAGCCCTTTTTTTTTTTTTTTTGGGTCTGGTCGTAGGGTCTGAACACTCTGGGCCTGGGCGCTGTCCCTCAGCTCTTCAGCTCAAGGCTAGTGCTCTACCACTTGAGCCATAGCACCACTTCCAACTTTTTTTTTCTGCTTATGTGGTGCTGAGGAATCGAACCCAGGACCCCAGGCATGCAAGGCAAGCGCTCTACCACTGAGCCACCTTCCCAACCCCCAAAGAATAGTAGATTTCTATAGATTTTTCTCTTCTTAAGTAGATTGTTCCTCTCGAGTAGATACCTTTTTCTCCACAGAATTCTATGGAGTCTTACTCTTACTTTTTTCATCTTTTAGGTTTTTAAATTTTATTCTGTTCGTTTTGTTTTTGTTTGTGGGCCTTGAACTCTGGGCCTGGGCACTGTCCCTCAGCTCCTCAGTTCTTCAGTTCAAAGTTAGTGTTCTACCACTTGAGCTACAGCACCACTTCTAGTTTTCTGGTCATTAATTGGAGATAAGACTTTCCTGCCCAGGGGATGGCTTTGAACCATGATCCTGAGATCTCAGCCCTCCTGAGTAGTTAGGATTACAGGCATGAGCCACTGGTATCCAGCTTAAATTTTATTTTAAATCATGGCTTTGGACTGTGGATGCTTTACCACTTACGCAACATCCTTAGCCCTCTTTACTTTTAATTGTTTTTTTTTTAATTTTATTTTATTGTAAAGATGCTGTATAGAGGGGTTTCAGTTATATGAGTGAGGTAATGAGTACATTTCTTTTTTTTTTTTTGGGTCTGGTCGTGGGCCTGAACTCTGGGCCTGGGTGCTGTCCCTCAGCTCTTCACAGTGCCACTTCCAGCTTTTTTTTTTTCTTCTGCTTATGTGGTGCTGAGGAATCGAACCCAGGACCTTATTCGTGTAAGGCAAGCACTCTACCACTGAGCCACCTTCCCAGCCCAATGAGTACATTTCTTGTTGAACATTATTACCCACTCCTTTTTTTTTCCCCCTTGGTTGTTTGTGGGGGCTGAACTCTGGGCCCGGGCACTGTCCCTCAGCTCTTCAGCTCAAGGCTTGCACTGTACCACTTGAGCCACAGCTCTGTTTCCGGCTTATTCTGCTTATGTGGTACTGAGGAATCAAACCCAGGGCCTCATGCATGCAAGGCAAGCACTCTACCACTGAGCACCTTCCCAGCCCCAGTCCTTTGTTTTTTTCCCCAGACTTTGAATTATTTTTAAGATAGGATTTTATACTTTTTTGCCCAGGCCTTGAATCATTATCTTCTTTTCTATGCTTTCTGTGTGGCTGAGATCCCAGGCATGGACCCTTATGCCAGGCTTATTTATAGAAACTGGATCTCACTAACTTTTTGCCTGGGCTAGTCTTCCCAATCTCTGCCTCCTCGGTAGTTAGGAATATAGGCATGTGCCACAATATCCCATCTCTTAATTTTTTTTTTTTTTTTGTCGGTCATGGGGCCTGAACTCTGGGCCTGGGCACTGTCCCTCAGCTCTTCAGCTCAAGGCTAGCGCCCTACCACTTGAGCCACAGCACCACTTCGGGCTTTTTCTGCTTATGTGGTGCTGAGGAATCGAACCCAGGGCCTCATGCATGCAAGCCAAGCGCTCTACCACTGAGCCACCTTCCCAGCCCCCCATCTCTTAATTTTTGGGTTTATAGCCATAGATGTAATCTCTTTCTTGACCCTAGATGATATTTGGTCCTTTCTGTGCTTCCTCTTTGTTTTGAATTTAATGTCCTACTTATGGGTACCATATCATCATGCCTTTATTTATAGAAGAAATATTAACTTTTCTTTGACATAAGTGGTTAATTTCTGATCTATAGCTTGGAACAAAAATCAGGTATTGGCTTAAAAAGCAAATTATTCACTTGAGGTATTACAAGGGAATTATAGTAATTTGGTATGATTCTGTAGACAGGACTGAATTACCTCAGTTATTAGTTTAGGTACTATCTAGATGTGCAGTGCAGCCCAAGTTATTTTAACTGCCCACATTTTGTTCCCTTCAAAAATTATCTCTCTTATTTTTTAAAATTTTCCTAAGAATAAAATGAGAGTAGGGAAGCTATGATTTCTAATTTTGACCCAGGCCAAATGCTGCTTGAATAAATAGTTATTGCTTGGGACTCATGGGGCACCTGGATATCTCATGTAAAGGTTAAACTCCTTTTGGATTTTAAGATTTGTAAGGCTGTTATGCTGGCAGGCTAATTTCTAGCCTTACATTTGAAAAGCCAATCATTGCATATTATTAAGATTTCTCTACATAGAGAGGATTTAACAATGCAGCCTAGTCACATTTCTAGGTCATCAGGATGTTTTTGACTTGTTTTGACGTCCCCATATCTATTTATATACTAATAAATAACCTAAACCTTCAGTAACCATGTAGAATTGCCTTTCAGAATCAGTGACCTGGCCTCATTTCCTTATTATGCCCAATTTAGCCCAGCTAACTGGAAATGATCTTTTATCATATATTAGTGTGTAGCTAGAATGTACTGAACCAGAAATCAAGATGCCTTCCTAAGTGGCCTGCCCATTTACTGACTTTTGATAAGTCATCCTTTCTGGGCTTCATGTTCCTTGCCTGTAGAATGAACAAGTTGCAAGGCATGATCTCTAAGTACTAGTCTAGGTTTGTGAAAATTTTGTGATTCTTTTTTTGTGACAGTCTTAGGGTTTGAATTTAGGGTCCAGGCACTGTCCCTGAATTTTTGTGCCCAAGTCTAAAATGCTTTACCCCTTGAGCCACAGTTCCTTTTGTGACAAATTTTTTTGGTGGTTAATTGAAGATAGGAGTCTCATGGACTTTCCTATCTGGGCCAGCTTTGAACCATGATCTACAGATCTGAGCCTCCTAAGTAGCATAAGTGGCATAAGCCACCTTCTCCCAGCTTCTATATATTTTCTAATGATTTTTTTTTTTTCCTCCCAGGCAGATGTTTGGAGTATGGGCATACTCTTCTATGTACTTATGTGTGGGTTTCTACCATTTGATGATGATAATATCATGGTTTTGTACAAGAAGATTATGGTGAGTATTATTAGGCGTAGAATGTCAATGTGAAAGTTTCCTATGCTGCGTAAGTATGTTTCCATTTATAAAGTGTAAACACAGGCAAATGTAATCTGTGCTGTTACAAATCAAGACAGTGTGAGTGGTTAAGAGGGAGTTGGTGGTGGCTTCTGTTTCTTGATCTGGGTGTATTTATAGTTATATATTGGAGTTTTTTGTTTGTTTTGATGCCTATACTGGGACTGTGAGTTCTCTCTTGGCTCTTTTATTCATGGTTGGTACAAGAACAAAAGTGGCTCCTCTTTTGCTGGTTAATTGGAGATGTAAGTCTCACTGATATTGTCTGCCTCATCTGGCTTTGAATATCAATCCTCAGATCTTGGCCTCCTGAGTAACTAGGATGATATACAAGCCACTGGTACCCCTCTGTATTCAAGTTTAGAAAACTTAGCAAGGTGTGCTCTTACATGCATTTTTGTACATAGTTTTCAATTAAAAAAAAATATAGGGAATGTTTTTGGTTGTCCCAAAGTGAGGTAAGTAAGCATATATGATTATTATTTCTGGTAAGAGTTTTTGTTTTGTATTCAAAAGTAATACCTTTGTCAAATGCTGTATTAAACTATATTTTCCTATTAAGGTAATGGTAAATAAGAATACTCATTTCTCCAAATGTTTGGGAAAGTAAAAATTTAGCTTTGTGAGGCGCCAGTGGCTCATGACTGTAATCCTAGTTATTCAGGAGGCTGAGATCTGAGATCATGGTTCAAAGCCAGCCTGGGCAGAAAAGTCCGTGAGACTCTTCAATTAACCACCAGAAAACCAGAAGTTGTGCTATGGCTCAAGTAGTAGAGCAGTAGCCTTGAACTGAAGAGCTGAGGGACAGTACCCAGGCCAGAGTTCAAGTCCCATGGTCAACCAAAAAAAAAAAAATAGCTTTAAGGTATGAGAGTTAAGAATATTACTGTGGCGAGAGTCATGGCTCAAGCAACTACCTAAGAAGAGTGAGACCTTGAGTTGAAATAGTTCTATAATAGAAAAAAAGTTAGAAGAATAGTACAAGTGTTGTTAGAATCATCTGTATATTAGAAACAGGTGGTTGCAATGCATAGGTGGTAAGGAATGACTGCTAATGGTAATGAGATTTCTTTTGAGCTGATGAAAACATTCTGTAACTCTGCAGTGGTGATGGTTGTCCATTTATTTATTTTTATTTTTTGGGGCTGCATATTCAACCCAAGGACTTGTGCACACTAAGCATGTGTTCTATAACTGAACTATAGCTCCAGCCTCAACAACTTTGTTAATACTAATATCCACAGAATTGTCTACTTTAGAAAGGGTAATTTTAGTTGACATGAGAATTATATTCAGGTTAAAAAAATAAGAAAAATCACACATAGCAAAGAAAATTGTAAAATTCCTTTAAAGTGTAAATATTCAAGGTATGCTAATAAAAGAACATAAACAATAGAAAAAGGGCATTGTATTGTGTTTTATAGCAAACCAAGGTTATATCAAACATTTCAAGTTGATTTTTTTCAATCTGTCTGTCTGTCTTTGTTCCAATATTATGTATTCTCATATTCCTGCTTTGTTTACTTGTTCATGGCTGGGGCTCTACCACTTGATTTATGCCCTCAATCATCATTTTTCTGCTTAATTGGAAATGAGGTCTTGCTGATTTTTTGCCCACCAGGTTTTTTTTTTTTTTTTGGTTGGTTGTGGGGCTTGAACTCTGGGTTTGGATGCTGTCCCTCAGCTCTTCAGCTCAAGGCTAGCATTCTACCACTTGAGCCACAGTGTCACTTCTGGTTTTCTGGTGGTTACTTGAAGAGTCTCATGGACTTACCTGCCTAGACTGGTTTTGAACCTTGATCCTCAGATCTCAGCCTCCTGAGTAGCTAGGATTACAGGAGTGAGCTACTGGTGTTTTGTCCTACCAGGTTTTGAACCAAGATCCTCTGATCTCTCTACTTGTAGATAGAAGGAAAGTATAAATAGTAAGAGATATAGAGAGGGGAAGAAAATATAATTTAAAATTGGTGACTGAAAGGCATATGTTGTTGTTTAGATATGATAACTTTTTTTTTTTTTTTTTGGGTCCAGTTGTGGGGCCTGAACTCTGGGCTTGGGCGCTGTCCCTCAGCTCTTCAGCTCAAGGCTAGCGCTCTACCACTTGAGCCACAGTGCCACTTCTGGCTTTTTTCTTTTTGCTTATGTGTTGCATAGGAATCAAACCCAGGGCCTCATGCATGCAAAGCAAGTGCTCTACCACTGAGCCACCTTCCCAGCCCTGATAACTTTTATGAAATGGAATGGAGGGAGAAATAGAACTGTAAAGGTAATTGGCGTGAGGGAATAATGAAATTTATATATGTTAGACATGTTAAAAAAAACTCAAACAAACTAAAACAATAACAAAGGGAAACAGACCTATAGAAAAGAAGATATTAATTATTTTTATTTATTTTTGTTGTTAGGGTTTGAAGCTCTTACTCAGCCTCAGCCTTTTTTGCTCATATATGGAATTCTGCCAATTGAGTCATACCTCCAGTCTAACTTTTTTGTTGGTTAATTGGAGTCTTGAGGACTTTTCTGCTTGGGTTGACTTTGAACTCAATTTCCAGATCTCAGCCTCCTAAGTAGCTAGGTATGAGTCACCGGTGCTTAGCTTCAGGGGTGTGTGTGCGTGTGTGTGTGTGTGTGTGTGGCTTCAGGGGTGTGTGTGTGTGTGTGTGTGTGCATACTTCTCAGAGGAGTAACACGGGAAAAAATCATAATTTAGCGCTGGGTGGAAAAGGTCTGTCTTACTTAGCAGTCAGCACATTGAGCTAGGAGACAGACTCTGGACAGTGAGTACTGCACAAACAAGCTTCAGATTCAAAGCTCTGTTGCCACTGTGACCTCAGGAGATTGGGTTCTCTCCTGACCAGGGAGTAGAGAGAGCCATGTTCAACTGCCATACCGATGCCATCAGAGTCCCAGCTGCTATGGTGGGGCCTCTGCCAAGTGTTTTAAGCCTCAACTGTGCTCTGTGGTAGGTTGTTCTAATGGCCATCACACCAGCACTTCTGTTATGTGACTCAGCAGGGAATCCCTAGCCTCTCTTGCTCCAAAACTGCTCCTTCTGGCATGTAACCTGACAGTGTGACTTCCTGTAGTTTAAAATTTGCTGTTGGACATTCTGCTCAGCCACCTCTTATAATTAATTTATATGTTTTTACCCAGGTTCTATGGCAAGGTGTGCTGTAACTCCTGGAGCCATGGTTGCTCCTTATTCCAGACCTCCAGAATAACTCTGTTCTAAGTAAGGGCATTCTCTCAAGTTAGTGTCTTATTGTTTCCCTCTGAGAATGAGAGAGAGAGAATACTTTCCTTTGCTAAGGCTAGTCTCCCACTGCAGAGCAGCCACTACCTCATAGATCGCTGTACTGGGATTAAGACTTGTTGGATGTGTGAGCTTTTCCTATGGTTAAAGTTGGCAGTCTGTCAATAGGCTCATCTGTTTTACCTTGTCAGTGTCTTTATCTTCCTCTTTCCCCAATCTGGGAGCTGGGGACTCAATTGGAACCTTGTGCTGCTTTTTTTTTTTTTTTTTTTAACTTGCAGGATTTCTCTGTAGTTTCTTTTGCTTCCCCTCTTACCTCACCTTCTTATCTCTTATTCTCTTTTTGAGGGAATAAAAAATAGCAGATGCTTCTAATCTAGTTTTTGTTTAATTATCTTACTTTTCTGTGTTAAATACTGTAAAAGCCTTTAAAATTAATGCCTCACCCACAGACAGTTATTTGGGGAAGAGATGTAATAGTTTTGACTCTGAGGGTTGAGGAACTCTAATTCCACAAGGTTAACATTAAGTAGTATTAGCAGTAGCTGTTAGCACTGCCTTGGGAGCTATGTGTACTGTATTCCTATTTGTCCTTGAAAGTGGAGGTAGATGGGCATGGAACTGGAAGTCAGCTTCCTAGAGTCATGAGAGTTAGCCAAAATAGACTGTATAATATCCTACCATCCTTTCTAGTCTCCTCTAAGCTTTTCTGGATAGTAGTAGTTGCTTTGGCTCCTGCTTGTTGACTGTGACAGCAGTTCCTGTCTACCTGGAGTCACACTCTGTGTCAACAGCAGGATATAGAGGAGAGTGTTAGGATTGCTCTGTAGCTTCAGCTTCTGCCCATGGGAAGTATAAAGCCTTGGTCTTTGGGCAGCTCAGTAACATTTTTCTAGTTATACTTTTAATAAGTATTAGATTGGTCCCTTGAATTTGTCCCTCTTTTTGCTACTCTTTTCTGTAAGGTAGAGCTGTGTTTCTTGTTTTGAAAAAAATAATTCTACTTTTATAAGTTGTTAGGATACTTTATTCTTTAAGATTTAAAAAAATATTTTAAAGCTGTTATAGAGTTGTTACAGTTTCATAAGTCAGATAATGAGTACATTTCCTTTTGAACAGTGTTACCCTGTCCCTCATTCTCTCCCAGATTTTCCCTCTGACTTCCCTCCACCCCCAAGTTGTATAGTTCATGTCCAACAGTGTATAGTGAGTTTCACTGCTGAATTGGTTCACCCCTTGTACCACGGTTTCTGCGCCTCCCCTTTCCCTTCCCAAATCAGATAAACTTATATGCTAGTAAAAGGGTACAGAAATAAAAAACAGCAACAGAAGGGAATAAACCAAAGGGAAAAAAAAAAGGAAAGAGGAAGAAGAAAAAAAGAACTGCAAAACAGTACAATAAAAAAACCTCTTGTTTAGTTGGGTTTTCATGGCTCACGGTTGTAATCCTGGTACTTAGGAGGCTGAGAACTGATGATTTCAGTTTGAAGCCAGCTGGGCAGAAAAGTCCTGGTGAGGCTCTTCTCTCCAATTTAACACTCAAAAATTGTAAGTAGTGCTATGGCTCAAAGTGGTAGAGCAAAAGAGCTCAGGTACAGCTTCCAGTCCCTGAGTTCAAGCCCCACAAGAACCAAAAACAAAGAAAAACAACCACCAACAAAAACAACCTCTTCCATTCCTTGGAGTT